TTAAATTATGACATGCTCTCTCACACTGAATAGATCATAGGGAAATGGACAGGGTACACTCTTCCCTGCTCTGAGCTGGTTAAAGGGAAGTGCCTGTGGCATCTGTGTATCGTCTCTCTCTCCAGCATCCATGTGTGCATTACTTTGTTGCAGCACTGGAATGGCTGATGCATCTGTGGGTAGTTCAGAGGTTGCTCACCTGGGGTGGTCTCATCCCTTCCAATTTTGCCCTTCCCTCCTGCTGCTGCATCCTGACCACTACATCAAAGGCAATGGGCGAGACCTCTCATTCCTACTTAGAATTCCTACTTCCTTACCTAGCACCTTGCAACTCTTACAGAGGTGACCTTTGGAATCAGAGAAGGAGGTCTTAGGAGTGCAGAGTAGGCAATGGCAAGACAGCGCCATCTGGGATATCTGGGGGTGACATGGGGCAAAGCCTCTCACTGGCCTCCTGCCATCGCTCTCTGTTATATAAGCAAGTTGCAGAATCAAAGCAAGTAGTTTACCTATACAAAAGATGAGTAACTAGGACACCATCTTACTAAACGGTGTGAGCCTTATCCTCTTCATAAAGCCAAAAGAGGCTGGGCGCAATGGCGCATGCCTGTATCCCAACACTTTGAGGGGCCAAGGCAGGAGGATCACTTGAGCCCAGGAGTTCAAGGCTGCAGTGACCTGTGATTGTGCCACTGCACTCCAGCCTCATCATTAGCAACAACAAACAACAAAAAAGTCAAAAGAGCAAAGAAGTTAAGGTTTTTCTTTCCATGAAAACTTCTTGATGAAAAACACCATAGAAAAAGAAATTTTTAAAAACTGAATGTGAACAGAACCCTAGGTGCCAGATCTCATGCTCAGCCTCAGAGTTCAGTGGCAGGCTTGAGGGCCTTCCTGGAACCCTGCTGGTGAGGAGGTCCAACTTTGTTAAGGGCAAGTTCTGAGAAAGGGTGAAGAGCTCCGTGGCTTCCCCCACCCCCTCCTAAACTACGCAACCTCTTCTGTCACCTCCTCTCTTTTCCACTTTTAAGTCCTTACACATAACACACACACACACACACACACACACGCACACACACACACAAGGTGTGCACATGTGACAGGGTGCAGAGCCAAGGAGGGAATGAGCATCTACCCACCTCTTATTCCGAGAAGATACTGGGTCTAGCTCTGAATGTACTTCTCATTTAATGCTAAAACATCTATGTAAGAACTAGATGTTAACAGGATTATTAATTAGCACACTCCTGCCTGTGGCCCATTGCCGTATGTGAGCTGGCCTCTGTCTACCTGTCTGATTCCATCTTGTGCTATTCTCCCCTTTGCTTCCTGAGCTCCTGCTACATAGATGGTTTTCTGGCTCTTTGAACACTCCAAGCTCTTTCCCATACCTCAGGGCCTTTGCATGTGCTGTCCCACCCTCCTGGAAGGTTCTTATGCCTGCCAGCATCCTTCTGGTCTCAGCTTACACATCATATGCCGAGAAGCCTTCCCAGACCCGTCTAAAGCAGATCTCTCCAGATCTCTAGTCAGCCAGTCTATATGCTTTGCTAGCATGTTGGCAACTGTTTATTTATTCAATGTTGGACTTTTTGTTTGTTTGTCTGGCTTCTCTGGAAATTAACAGGTCTTTGAGGTCTATCCATTTTGTTACTGCAGTATCCCTGGCAGCCAGCACAGTGCCACACATGTAGACTCTCGGTGAAATACTTGCTGAATAACTCATTTTGACAGAAAGCAACTGGGACTCAGGGAAATGGCTTGTCCAAAGCCAAACAGCCAGCAAGCCAAAGAGCCAAGACTCGAAAACAAACCTGACTCCCAAGTCTGTGCTCTCTGCACAGGAGCTGGATGTCAGCTTCTCCTCTCTGCTCCCATGCACCCCCAGCCCACCTACCCATCTCTCTGCAGCTGGCCAGGACCACGGGGAGGCCAGTGAGGCACTCACCCCAGAACAAAATTTAAAGGGCTGACAAAAATTCAGTAATCAAGATAAATAACATAAAAAAGAAAAAACAAAACACCTAAATTCATGCAAAAAAATCATGGACAAAATACCAAAATTTTAAATAAAGACAGGATCCAGGCCTGTGCCTGGGGCACCCAGCCTCATTGCCTCACCCTAATCTTGGCCCTGTTAGAGCCTGTCTTTATTCTAATAACTGATATCTGTTCGCTATGAATTATTTGCATTTTTACTATAAAACATTGCATTAAAATATTCTGTATTTTGATGACTCAGATTTCAGGCCCTCTGGAATGTTGTGGGGGCAGACCTTATTTTATCATGCTTCACTTTATTCCACTTTGCAGATACTGTAATTCTTACAAATTGAAGGTTTGTGGCAATTCTGTGTCGAGTAAGTCTATCAGCGACATTTTTCCAAAAGCATGGACTCACATCTTGTCCACATTTTGGTAATTCTCACAATACTGCACATTTTTTCATTATTATTATCTCTATTATGGCAATCTGCAATCAGTGACCTCTGATGTTTTTGTTTTGACTACTGTAATTGTTTTAGGGTGCTACGAGCCCATATAAGACAGTTAACTTCATCCATAAATGCTGGGATGTGTTCTGAATGCTCCACAGATGGCCTTTCCCGTCTCTTCCCCTCTCCTTGGGCCTCCCTATTCTCTGAGACACAACGATATTAAAATTAAGCCAATTAATATCCCTACAATGGCCTCTAACTGCCCACGTGAAAGTAAGAGATGCATGTCTCTCACTTTAAATTAAAAACTAGAAATGATGAAGCTTAGTGAGGATGGAATGGGGAAAACTTACTAGGTCAAAAGCTAGGCCGCCCACACCCGCGGGTTAGCCAAGTTGTGAATACAAAGGAAAAGTTCTTGAAAGATAAAAGTGCCACTCCAAGGAGCCTAAACTGAGGTAGAGAAAGTCTGAGTGGTCTGGGTAGAAGACCAAACCAGCTACAACATTCCCTTACCCCAAAGCCTAACCCAGGACACAACCCTAACTCTATTTAATTCTGTGAAGGCTGAGAGAGGTGAGGAAGCTGCAGAAGAAAGGCTGGAAGCTAGCAGAGGTTGGTTCATGAGGTTTACAGAAAGAGGCCATCTCCATAACATGAAAGTGCAGGGTGAAGCCGCAAGTGCTGATGGAGAAGCTGCAGCGAGTCATCTTGAAGATCTAGCTAAGATCGCTGATGTAAGTGGCTGCACTAAACAACAGATTTTCAATGTAGATGAAACAGCTTTTTGTTGGTAGAAGATGCCATCTAGGACTCTCATAGCTACAGAGGAGAAGTCAATGCCTGGCTTCAAAACTTCAAAGGTCAGGCTGACTCTCTTGCTAGGGGTTAATGCTGATGGAGACTTGAAATTGAAGCCAATGCTTATTTTTTTTTTTTTTTTTGAGAGGGAGTTTCGGTCTTGTTACCCAGGCTGGAGTGCAATGGCGCGATCTCGGCTCACTGCAACCTCCGCCTCCTGGGTTCAGGCAATTCTCCCACCTCAGCCTCCTGAGTAGCTGGGACCAGAGGTGCATGCCACCACGCCCGGCTAATTTTTGTATTTTTAGTAGAGACGGGGTTTCACCATGTTGGCCAGGAAGGTCTTGATCTCTTGACCTTGTGATCCGCCCACCTTGGCCTCCCAAAGTGCGGGGATTACAGGCGTGAGCCACCATGCCCAGCCTCATTTACTATTTTGAAAATCCTAGGGCCCTTAAGAATCATGCTAAGCTGGGTGGGGTGGTGCATACCTGTAATCCCAGTACTTTTGGAGGCTGACGAGGGTGGATCATGAGATCAGGAGTTTGAGACCATCCTGGCCAATATGGTGAAACCTCATCTCTACTAAAAATACAAAAATTAGCTGGGCATGGTGGCACGTGCCTGTAGTCCCAGCTAATCAGGAGGCTGAGGCATAAGAATCGCTTGAACCTGGGAGGCAGAGGTTGCAGTGAGCGGAGATCACAACACTGCATTCCAGCCTGGGCAACAGAGCAAGACCCTGTCTCAAAAAATAAAAATAAAAAAAGAATCATGCTAAATCTACTCTGCCTGTGCTCTAAAAAGGAGGCACAAAGCCTAGGTGACAGCACATCTGTGTACAGCATAGTTTACTGAATACTAGGGACTGGCTTTATTGCAGTATTTGCTTTATTGTGGTGATACAGAACCAAACCCACAGTATCTCCGAGGTATATTTGTGCCTAAGGTGACTGCCTTACCTGCTCAGCTGGCCAGGAGCCCTGGCTCCCACAGGCAGCTGTCCAAGCCACTGGGATGCCCTGAATGTCATGCCCACAATGGTAAAGTCTGGACTCTGGGCTCTGAGACCATCAGAGAGGCTGCTCACCCACTGCTCCCAGTTGGAGACTGCGAACAGCCTAGACTGGTGTTCCTGTCCTGGGGACATCCAGTCTACTTGTCTCCTTCCTTCCTTGAGGTTGTCTAGGTCAGTGTCCCAGCCTCCCAGTATCGCTCCACAGAGGGAGGTATGGGCTGTTCTTTGACACCCAGAGGCCTCTCTCCAGAGCAGCCAGAGAGATGTGCCTCAGGACCACCCACCTCCTTCTACCCTCCCCTTCCTCTTCCAACATGGGGAGAAGGAGGAGGCAGAGAGGGTGGAGCATATCAGACATGATGTCTGTGCCTACCCACCTAGCACCCAGGTGCCCTTCTGGGAATAGCATCTCAAATTCCCCTGGGGCCCCAGCCCTTCCTTTTTCCCTGCTGTTTCTCCACCAGGATTGCTAAACTGGGAGGATGTAAAGGAAGCTGCCTGAGGCCACATGGTGAGGGCCTGCCCTGAGCCACAGCAACACAGAGGAAAACAGAGTTCAGAAGATGGAGAAGTATCTTCTCAGGGAGCAGCTTGGGCACACAGATCCAGGCTCGCCAGCTCCTGAGCTCTTCAGCTGTAACCCTCTGTCACCAAGGTGAGGTTGAGCTGGAGCCTTGATCTCTTGCAACCAAGAAACCCCTGATTCTCCAAGATGGCCCTGCCCCAACCCAGCACATACTCACCTCTTTCTTCATCAGTTTGAGCTGCTCTTGGAACCTGGCGTAGTCCCGATCCTGCTCCAGGCGGATCCGCTTGGCCTCCTCCCGGCGGCGCACAGCATGGTCTTGCTCCATCTTCTCCACTTGCTGCTTTTGCTGACGCTCCAGGTTCTCTAATTCTGTGTCAAAGAACTTCTTCTTGGACTAAAAAGAGCAGAAATTCCAAGAAATTCAGCAAAGTTACTTTACACCTGGGAGAGATATGGGGAGTGGAACAGGGGGAACTCAGAGCTTGTGCTCAGACCTAGGTTTGAATCCCAGCTCTACCACCTCCTTGCTGTGTGACCTGGGGCAAGCTACTTAACATGAGTCTCCGTTTCCTCGTCGGCAAAAGGGAGACCAGACCATGTGCTGTTGCATGGTGCTCAGTAAAGGTTATTTTCCCTCTGGAGATCCTCCTGTGGGACTCAGGATCACTGGGACCTTCATGGGATTCTGTGTTAACAAGTCACTGCCTAAGAAGATCGGGAAACCCCAGGAATTGGGCAATTGATGTGAATTACTCTCCAGGACCTAATCATTCCCGCTATGTAACTTCCACTGAGAGAACACATGGAGGCAAGAAGCCCTCCAGGGTCCCATCTTTTCTCATACTCACGTTGATTTCCTGTTCAAAACGTTTGTGCATTTGCTCCAGTTGCAGCTCATGCTTATTACTCAGCTGGGTCTGGTTCCGATGCTCTTCTTTCTGGAGCAGCCGAAGCTCTCTGAGTTCCTGGCGCCTGAAAGGTTAAAGGATGTAGATATTTCACAGTAAGAAAGTGGCCTCAGAGGTCACAATACTCACAGCTTGGAACATCGAGGGCTGCATCATGGAGCAAATTCACAGAAGCCTTGGGCACAGGCATGACTAGAACTCAGGCTTCATTTGATATTTATTGACAGAAAAAATCTTAATAATATTTTTTTTTTTGAGACGGAGTTTCGCTGTTGTTACCCAGACTGGAGTGCAATGGCACAATCTCGGCTCACCGCAACCTCTGCCTTGCCTTCTGGGTTCAAGCAATTCTCCTGCCTCAGCCCCCCTAGTAGCTGGGACTACAGGCGTGCACCACCATGCCCAGCTAATTTTTGTATTTTTAGTAGAGACAGGGTTTCACCTCGTTGACCAGGATGGTCTTGAACTCTTGACCTTGTGATCTACCCGCCTCGGCTTTCCGAAGTGCTGGGATTATAAGCGTGAGCCACCACACCTGGCCAAAACCTTAATAATCTTAATATATAAAGAGTGCTTACAAATCAATAAAAGGACAACTATCCTTACAAAAAAAGTGGCAAATAACAAGAACAGACATGAAGTAAAAGATAAAAAAAATTAGAATCACCTATATAGATATAAAATGCAAATTAAAAAGAAACTACAATTTCATGATATAGAAAACATGATGCAGAAAATTTTATGTAGAAACTACATTTCATGATATAGAAAATTTGATGTAGAAACTACATTTCATGATGTAGAAAATTTGATGGTAGAAATTGGTACATTTCTGGAGGACAGTTTGGTAATAAGTTTATGTCTTTTGACATAGTAGTTTCACTTCTGGATACTGATTTTAAAGAAGTATTTACAGATGCACAAGACCATTGAATAAAAATATTCAGTCAGGTACGGTGGCCCACACCTGTAATCCCAGCACTTTGGGAAGCCAAGGTGGGTGGATCACTTGAGGTCAGGAGTTCAAGACCAGCCTGGCCAACATAGAGAAACCCCATCTCTCCTAAAAATACAAAAATTAGCCGGACATGGTGGCACGTGCCTGTAATCCCAGTTACTCAGGAGGCTGAGGCAGGAGAATCGCTTGAACCCAGGAGGCAGAGGTTGCAGTGAGCTGAGCTCATGCCATTGCACTCCAGCCTGGGCTACAAGAGGGAAACTCCGTCTCAACAACAAGAACAACAACAAAGAATATTCAGTTATTTATAATCAATGTTATTTATAAGAGTAAAAAATCGGAAGCAAATGTCCATCAATATAGGTATAGGTAAATAAAGTGTATCAATATATCAATATGATAGAATTCTATACAACCTTAAAAAAATCAAGTTTCAGAAAATGTTTAATTACATGAGGAAACATCTATTGAAAATAATAATTCTTTATGAACAGATATGGAATAATCTCTAGGTAAAAAAAGCAAGATATTAAAGAATAGGCCTGCTTTGCTACCTTATCTGGGAGAAAAAAGGGCACCAATAGGTCTATGTACACACACATAGTTATTTCTTACTTTTCCAGTATTTCTGGAAGGATTAAATCAAAACATTAACACAGGAAAGGTAACTGGATTTCTAATAGGAAAATGAGGGAGATTTTTCACTGTTAATCTTTTTTTTTTTAAATTCTGAACCATGACCTTATACAGGTTGAGTATCCTTTCCTGAAAAAGCTTGGGACCAGAAGTGTTTTGGGTTTCAGATTTTTTTAGATTTTTAAAAATTCTATTATCTTTTGTTTTATTTTTCATTTAGGGTTAATTCATTCATAATGCTTTTATTCATGGCTGGAGGTGTTATTTTCCAGATCAATAACCAATTATGTTAGTAGCATAATTAAATAAACTATTTTCTCTCCCACTGAACTAAAATGCCATCTTTATCATGTATTAAATTTGAATATATACTCAGATTTTTTTGACTTTCTGGTCTTCTGATCTCTACACTTATTTATAAGCTAAAATCACACAGTTTTAAAATGATGATATTAGCTTTGTAGAAAGTTTTAATAGCTGGCAAGGGAATCCTACCTCACTGTCTTTTCACAATTAACTATTTTTGTTGTCAGCTCTAAAACATTTAGAATTTCTCCAATATAAATGCTAAATATGTTTTTGTAGCCCCAGGAAAACACCACTGATATTCTGATTGGAATTAATTTATGGTACATATTTATTTAAAAAGTCATTGACATTTATGATGATTAATTCTTCCCATTCAAGGACACACTGTGTCTCACAATTAGTTGAAATATGGTTTTTATGCCCTGTAACAAAATGCTATGGCTTTCCTCATGGAGGTCTCATAATTTCTGGCTAGTTTTAACAATTAATTTTTCTAAGTAAATAATATAATGGCTATAAAGCACTTTACCCAAAAATCCAGTGTATAGTAACTATTACAAACATTAGGTATTAAAATTATTGTTGTTATTTTTATTATTAACTTTACTTATTCTCATTAAGTAAAATCATAGAAAAGATAAAGCTTGAAAAAGCTCTCTGCTGGTTAACTCACATGAATCCTGGATATTGTAAAAATGTCATTTCTCTCTAAAATCAATCTATAGAACCAATACAATTCCAATAAAAGTTCCAGGTGATTGCATGTGTGTGTGTGCAAATTCACAAGTTGCTTGTAAAATTTGTAGAGAAAGACAAAGAACCAAAAATAAGCTAATCTTGAAGGAAAATAAGAGGACTTACACTAGAGGATATTGAGACTTCTTTTGAAGCTCAATAATTAAGACAATGTGGTATTTGGAGCAAGTTTAGAGAAATGACCAATAGAACAGAAAAGTCTAGAGGTCCACACACATGCTCCATTTATGACAATAGTGACACTTAAGTCATAGCCATGGGAAGGTAGTATCTTTTCAATAAATAGTGTTGGGTCAATTACAAATCTATGTTTATGTTAATTTCTATAAACATTTTACACTAAAATCAGTTCCAGATGGATTATAAGTCAAAATATAAAAGGTAAAACAAGAAAACATGTAAAAGACAATATAGGAGAATGCCTTCATGACCTTGGGATAGACAAATATTTCTTTCACAGAATACCAAAAAAAAAAGGAAGAAGAACGTAAAACATTGGCTGGGCATGGTGGCTCACGCCTGTAATGCCAGCACTTTGGGAGGCCAAGGTGGGCGGATTGCTTGAGTTCAGGAGTTCAAGACTAGTCTGGTCAACTTGGTGAAACAGTCTCTACTAGAAATACGAAAATTAGCCAGGCACAGTGATGGGCAACTGTAATCTCAGCTACTCAGGAGTCTGAGGGTGGAGAATAGCTTGAACTCAGCAGGTGGAGGTTGCAGTGAGCTGAGATCACACTACTGTACTCCAGCCTGGGTGACAGAACAAGACTCCTTGAGCTTCCCACAGTTCATCTACCGACCGCAGGAAGGGGGCGCATATGTCACTCTCTCCTCTCCAATTCAGCTACAACTCTGAGTTTGATCTTCACTGCAAACGACACCACCTGGTTGTTGGTCCCTAAGGTGTTCAGCCTGCGGAAGGGGGCTCAGCAACTCCACAGGCTTCTATTTCCATCCACAAACACCAGGACTCTTGTACACTGCGGGCACGCGTGACGGGGCAGCAGCAGGGAGCCCTCTCCAACGTCCCTACTCTGAGCCCAGCGGGGCAAGCCCGCAACCCCCCCAGGCTTGATTGTTTTCGATTTTAGAATATTATACTTACTGAACAAGCATCCCTAATCTGAAAATCTGAAGCCCAAAATGTTCCAACGAGAATTTCATGTCAGTGCTCAAAAAGTTGCAGAGTTTGGAGCATTTTGGATTTTGGAGTTTTTGATTTGGGATGTTCAACTTTTATTACATGCTAAAGATACATATAATAAAAATATGACCTGGGCGAGGCATGGTGACTCATGCCTGTAATTCCAGCACCTTGGGAGGCCAAGTGGGGAGCATCACTTGAGCTCAGGAGTTTGAGACCACCCTGGGCAACATAGCGAGATCTTGTCTCTGTCAAAAATAAAAAGTTAGCTGGGGTGGTGGTGCATGCCTGTGGTCCCAGCTACTTAAAAGACTGAGGTGGGAAGATTGCTTGAGCCCAGGAGGTCCAGGCTGCAGTTAGCTGTGACTGTGCCACTGCACTCTAGCCTGGGCTACAGAGCAAGATCCTGTCTTAAAAAAAAGAAAAAAAAAAAACTGACCTAAGCCACATGCCATAATTTCATATATATTGTCAGTGTGTGTATGTGTGTACTCACAGAAAAAATATTGGCAGGATAAGCCCCTAATATTAGCCATGTTTCTTAATGAGCAAATCCATTAAAAATTGCTATATAGGCTAGGCAAGGTGGCAAACGCCTGTAATCCCAGCTCTTTGGGAGGCTAGGGTGGGCAGATCATTTGAGGTCAGGAGTTCAAAACCAACCTGGCCAACATGGTGAAAACCCATCTCTACTAAAAACACAAAAATTAGCTGGGCATGGTAGTGTGCGCCTGTAATCCCAGCTACTCGGGAGGCCGACGCAGGAAAATGGCTTGAGCCCGTGAGGCGAAGGTTGCAATGAGCAGAGATTGCACCACTACACTCCAGCCTGGGAGACAGAGTAAGACTCCATCTCAAGAAAAAAAAAAAAAAGAAAGAAAGAAAAAATTGCTATGTATTATTTATATGATCAGAGAAAAAGAAAAAAATTAAACTGCTACAGAAAGAACTTGGGCCTCCTGACAGAACTGGGGTCGCGGTCCATGAGAACTGTGTCCTAGTCCAGGGCCGCACCATGGTGATTCCCATAAGGCTACGCTCTGACACCAGTGGCCTTCCTCATGGCTCGAAGGGACCATAACTGCTCATAGAGCAGCACAAGCAGGGGCTGGGCAGTGCAGTGAGGCCAAGCACATTCTCTGGGGTCTGAGCACCCCTGTCTGAATCTAGGCTCCATCAGCTTTCCAGCTGGGTGCCCACTCAGTCCGTCAGTCATCCTTGTGGGCCTCATTCCCTCCTCTGCAAAATGAGGCTAACAATCTTTACCTCATGGGTCCTTTGAGGGATAACTGAGATGACACAGGTAAAGTGTCCACATGGCAGGCACATGACCAGCCCTCTGTAAGTGGCACCTGCTCAAATTCTAACAAGGAGGAAGAGGCAATGGCTGCCCTGCCTCTGCGAAAAGCCAGAGGCACCTTTCACAGCCACAGAGGGAAGACTGTCTGAGCCTCTGCTTTTCTGGAAAGTGAGAAGAAAGGAGGCAGTTTTTTTTTTAGACAGTCTTGCTCTGTCGCCAGGCGCCAGGCTGGAGAGCAGTGGCGCAATCTCTGCTCACTGCAATCTCTACCTCCTGGGCAATTCTCCTGCCTCAGCCTCCCTAGTAGCTGAGACTACAGGCGCACAGCACCACGCCCAGCTAATTTTTGTATTTTTAGTAGAGACAGGGTTTCACCATGTTGGCCAGGATGGTCTCGATCTCTTGACCTCGTGATCCACCTTGTTCGGCCTCCCAAAGTACTGGGATTACGGGCGTGAGCCACTGCACCCGGCTGAGAGGAGGAAATTTTTGAGAGTGTTAACAAAGAAATGGAAATCCCGACTCAGGAGAAACTAAGGGTTAGAGAAGAATTGACAAAAAGCATAAAAGGAGTACAGAAAAAAAGACAGGCAGCCTGGCTCTAGCACCTCTCTGGCCCATCTGTGCTCTCAGAAGGAAAGGCGGGCAAAGAGAAAGCTAATGCTCAAGAGGGAAGGAACGGCAGAAGCGGTTTTAGGGAAGGACAGGAGGATCTCTGCCCAGAAGCCTCATCATGATTCTGGGAATGTGATAAACACTCAGTCACATGGTTCAAAACCCTAGGTGTGACCCAACTCTCCACAAATGCTGGGGGTCAGGTATGACTGGGGCCTGGGCCGGCAGGGAATCATTAGCGCCTTCCTCACCCCTGTGGTCTGGTGGCCTAGACTGGTTTACAGGTGCTTAGACCTACAGACCACGGCAGGCAAATGAGAAAATCCTGATCCCTGTCCAGCACCTCTTCACCTCCTCGAGGTCTCACCTTTTGACCCTGAGTAGCACGCAGCTGGTCTGCTTAGGAGGAGGGTGGGGACCCACAGTCAAGGCCAGAGAGCATCGCTTCTCCATGGGGTGTGCCAATCTAGAATTTTAACTCTGGGAACTTCAACTGCCCAGAGGGGAGGTGATGGAAACCCGGCTCCTGAGGTTGAAGCTCAGAGTCCAGGGTACCTCTCAGGTGACCATCAAAACAGAAAGTGGTGTCATCTGCCAAAGTAACCTGTGCCCTAGCCTCCCTAACCCACATAGATGATGTGTGTGTGTGTGCGTGCGCGTGCGCGCAGACACCACACTAGAGAAAAGTCTGTCTTTCCTCCTACTGTCTCCTAGGGGGAGAAATGATCCAGAACATCTAAAACTACTTTTATTTGGTTTTGGCATGTTTGTTTATTTATTTATTTATATGACAGAGTCTCGCTCTGTCGCTCAGGCTGGAGTGCAGTGGCACAATATTGGCTCCCTGCAACTTCTGCCTCCTGGGTTCAAGTGATTCTCCCCTTTCAGCCTCCCGAGTAGATGGGACTACAGGTGCCCGCCACCACCCTATGCAGGGCTAATTTTTGTATTTTTAGTAGAAACTGGATTTTGTCATGTTGGCCAGGCTTGTCTCGGGTGATCCACCCACCTAGGCCTTCCAAAGTGCTGGGATTACAGGTATAAGCCACTGCGACCTGCCTATGCTTTTATTTTTTACAATTTATTTTCATTTATTTTTGAGAGATAAGGTCTTTCTCTGTTGCCCAGGCTGGAGTGTGGAGGCATGATCCACACTCACTGTAGCCTCGACCTCCTAGGCTCAAGTGATCCTCCCACCTCAGCCTCCTGGGTAGCTGGGACTAGGTATGTGCCCAGCTAATTTTAAAATTTTTTGTAGACATTATGTTGCCCAGACGTCTCGAACTCCTGGTCTCAAGCAATCCACTCCTTTCAGCCTCCCAAAGTATTGAAATTACAGGTGTGTGCCACCTGTACACCTTATAGCTTGCATGCTTAAGCTTTTTAAAAATATATGAATATTAAAAATTATAATTCACAAGTATAAAAATATGTGATTGATGTTCTAGAAATTTTCTCCACACTAATCATGAATTTACCCTACAAAGGCCTGACCCCAAAAGAAATCCATGGCTCCATGTCCTCTCTAAGCGCTTAACTCCCCCAGCCCCAGCCAGCTACACGGTCCAGTGAAACCTGAAGGAATTCTCACACAGACAGACCCAGTTAGAATCTCCGCTTTACCCCTGCCCAACTGGAAGACCAAGGCAAGTGACTTACTTGCTCAGAAATACAGTTTCCTCATTTGTTTACAAAATGTGGAAATAGGGCCTCCCAAGGAGGGCTCTAAGTGGAGGATAAGCAGCTGAAACGTATAAAGATGGATCCTAGCAAACAGCTTTGCCTCACCCCTTCCTCCCTATTCCAATTCTTCACTCACTGGTTTTGCCTCCAAAATCTAGGTCAAATCTGACCTTGTTTTTCCCTTTTCCCAGCCTCTGCCCCAGCCGAGTCCAGAGCCCAGCCATCCTAGTCAAGATCTCCCTGTCTCCCTCCACCAGTCCCTTAAACAAGCTGAGGAGTTATTCCTCAGGGTCTCAGCAACTGCAGCTTCCCCGGGACTCCCCCAGCTCTGCTCCCCTCATCCTTCAGGCCTGGCTTGGGGGCTTCCCTTGGAGCAGCGGCCCCCACTCCAGGCACTCACCATCATGTCACTTGTTACTTCTTTCATGGCATGTACCACAATCAGGAATTATCTTGTGTACCGTGTCTTGGCCCATTAGGTGTAAGTTCTACGAGGGCAGTGGCCTTATCTATTTGGGTCACCACGTTATCGACAACCTGGTGGGTTGGGGGACACATGGAATATGGATGGATGGATGGATGGTTAGGATGGGTAGATGAATGGGTAGATGAGTGGGTGGGTGGACGAATGACTGGGTGGATGATTGGGTGGGCAGATAGAAAGACAGATAGGGAGTAGGTGAATAGACGGATGGGTAGATAAATGAATGGAAGAATAGATGGATGGATGAGTGATTAGGTGAATAGATAAACAGATAATAGGCAGATGGAGAAAATGATAGAATGGTGAGTGGGTAGATGGATGGGTGGATGATTAGGTGGATAGATAGAAGGGTGAGTGGGTAGATGAATGAGTGGATGAGTGGGTGTGTGGATGGATGGATGCATGGATGGATGAATGAATGGTGGATAGATGGATAGGCAGAGAGGTAAGTAGGTGGATGGATGGGTGGATAAATGAATGGAAGGATGAATGATTAAGTGGATGGGTAGATGAATGGGTGGACAGTTAGATGGATGGCAAGGTGAGTGGGTAGATGGGTGGCTGGGTGGAGGAGTGAGTGGGTGGAAAGGTGGGGAGATGGATGGGCAGATAGATGAATAGGTAGATAGGTGAGTAGTTGGTTAGATGGGTGAATAAATGAATGGATGGGTGGATAGATAGATGAATGACTGGGTAGATGGAGGAGTGCAGGATCTCAGGCAAAATGAGTTTCCTTTTGTCTCCCTGATTCCCCCACTTCATGCTGTAGACAGACAGCCCTCTCACCAAAAGGGCCAATGCCCACTCCTCTTACCATAGCCCCACCCTGTTACCACCACTGGTGGCCCTTCCCAGGCTTGCCTGAGAAATCTCATCTCCTCATCCTTCTTCTCATCTTCGCTGATGATCTTGGAGGTGGTGATGCTCACCTCCACACCATCCACCACAAATTTGCGTGTCCGCTTGAGGGTTTTGTTGTGTAGCTTCGGGTCCTGGCCAGGGAAAACCATTAGGTAAGTCTCAACACTTCAGCAAAGGACTCGTGGCTGTTGCAAGCAGGTGAGGCCGCAGCTCTGCTGGGCCCACAGGTTCAGCCCCACCCAGAGAGATGTGGCCGTCCATCGTCCCTCTCGCCTCAACTTAACCTAAAAGCCCTTGCCTTTCCCTGATCTCAACCTTCAGACCCTGGGCTGAGGCCTCCCCTACCTTGCTGCCAGCACCTCTCATGTATCCAGGACATGGTGTCAGAAAGAGCTGCATTCTAACCCTCACTATACCACTTACTGGCTCTGTGCCTCTGGGCCAGTCTCTTGTCCTGTCTGAGCCTCAGCTTCCTCACCTGTCCTGCGAGGATAATAACCTCCTGGGGAGGTTGTGAAGATTCAGTGAGAGACCACATGGGGGGCACACAGAGCAGCACCCGCTCCCATGCGTGTTCCATGCTTAGCATTTCTTTCTGACAGTTATAACTGCAGACTATACCCAACCCTCATGCATGGTGCCAAAATCCAAAGGTGCCCGAAAACCAAAGGCTGTTCTCTTAACTGGTTTGGTAGCCAAAGTTGACCTCACCTGAATTCCCCACCTGCTGGGAGCTGCTGTGAGATTATGCATAATCTTGATGTTTTACTCTGAGAAATTGCACGTCACAAGTGATTGTGCAGGGTGCCACCCGGAATACTGGAGGTGTTCGTGTGTTACAATACATGGTACCCTCTGGAAGTTCTCAGCTCTGATTCTGAAGGTGTTCCCTAATCCTCCTGCTCTGTCCACTGCCTCTGGTCTCTTGGCTGGTTTCAAAGGCTCTTTTTGGTGAAGCCCAGTGCTGCCTTCCTAACACCAGGCCTCCCATCCCCGAAAGAGGAGTGAGGAGCCAGCGTGGCAGGTCTCTGAGCCCTTGAAATCTATGCTGAGCTCCACTCCTGCTGAGTTGAAAGGGGCAGACAGTTCTTGCTTCCTGAGGTCTAGGCCCGTCTCTTGCCTGTGGCATCTTGTCCAGGGGCTCTGGACAGCATCAGCATGAATCTAGCACGCCCAACTCTCATCTCTAAGCTCACATGCCAGGACCCAGTCAGGATGGGGCAGACCAGTGGTGAGAAGTGGAGGCTGGCAGGAGAGACAGCGGAAGGGAAGAAAGGACATCCACAGCCACAGCCTTCTGCTGAGAACTGTTCCTGGTCATGGGGCCTCCTAGTCATGCCCGCGGGTGCTGGCACAGCAGGAGGCTCTCATCACAGCAGCCTGAGGTCCCTGACGCATTGCAGTCAACCAGAAACATTCTCCACAGCATGGTGAAGAGCTACATGGGTCTGTGTTACTAAACAAACAGACAAACAAAAATGCCTTTTTTTGTTTGTTCACTTAGTGTCTTTAGGAAGAGAAAGGGCAGGATGCCTGTCCTAAGGGAGACACTGCTCATAGGTGACAGCTACTTTCCATGCTTGTCACGGTGACCTGTTGGAACTGTGCTTCCTTTCCCTGCCTGAAGCTGATTGGCCATTGCAGCTCCTGTCACTCCCTTTTGCTTAGCAAATACGTTTGAGTCTCTACTGCTTGTTTTTCACCAAGAAAATTTGGGAAGGAAAAACAAAATCATACAGTATTTCCCCTAAAATCAGCCTTGGGTAGAGAGTCAGGTGACCAGTGGTGAGTTAGGTAACATCTGGGGTTTACTGGGGAGGCAAGGAAAGGAGTCAGCCACTTCCCGCTGCCTAAGGAGGAGGCCATGGCTCCCACTGGGAAAGTTCAGAGCTCGGAACCTGGGGTCTGACCACCTTCCTGCTCCTACCAAGCCCTGGGCTAGCTCCTCACTTCACTGAGCCTCCGTCTGCTGATCTGTAAACTGAGAGGATGAGGCCCTTCTGTTCTTTTTTACAGCACTTGTACAGGGTTGGCCTCACGTCCAGGCCTCTAGTGTGGTGGAGGCGTCATTCCCAACACTGCCCAACTCCAGAAAGGCCCCGGAGGCAGGGAAGGCAGATTTGAGCCCGTTTCCTTTAGTTGGATTTACCAGTTATCAGCTGGGTCTCGTGGCTGACCCCCAGATGAGAGAACTTCATTTGTAGCAAAGGCCTAGAATTATCTCCCCCAAATTTTACCAGGGCCTTTTACCAAGCTTTGACGTTCCTAAATCCCAAACCAAACCATCTGCTTGATGTTCCTAAATCCCATACTGAATCCAGATATTTTGGAGATTAAACTATAAGTCAAACCAAAAATTCCCCAATGAACCGCTTAAAATGCAAGGAAGCCCCTAAATGCTTTTGAAAGCCAAATGGAGCCACAGAACATCCTGCAATGCCCTCACTGCAAGCCTGTGGTGGGAGAGGTGGCATTACCTTGATGGACAGAGAGCCCATCTCTTTGTTCAGGGACAGGTCGGCGGAGAGATTGGTACCGAAGTCCATGCTCTCAGAGGTGCAGAGGCTGCCACAGTCTGAGTCTCCCTTGGGAGGGCCTGGAGCTGCCTGGGCAGGGGGCTCCAGGCTGCCATTGGTCAGCTTCTCCCCACCCAAGGTCTCCAGGGCGCTGCTGTTGGGTCGGCTCTGGCTGGCTTTTTGGGATCTGTTGGCTGCTGGGCTGCGGTCCTCACCCTGCTCGGCAACTTGCTTCTCCTGGGCTACCTGAATTCTAGCATCCATTGACATGGGCCGGGACTTCCTCAGGGGTACAGGCACTGCCAGGCCGTTCTCATTTCCAGGGGCCACGTCTGGGGGACTGGTGGTTTGGAGGGATCCGTCCCCAGAAGGCTGTCTGCAGGGTCCATTCACACTGTCCTGAGGCTGGCTGGGTGCCAGCGGGGTGGAAGGTGACTCCTTGAGAGGCTTGTCTGTGTTGAGTCTCAGCGGACTCACCTCAGAGGAGTTCTGAGTATGGTTCTCCATGGTCTAGAAAAAAAAAAGACAGTCAAGGCCATGCTGCTGTATGTTCAAGGAAAGAGTCAGAGACACAGTGGGGTGAGAAAGTCAGACACCCCAAGATGAAGGGGGCCAGGGCCAAGAGAGGCGAGCACACATCTCCCTAGCCGGAGTCTTCACCATTCCCTACTGCCTAACCATAATAAAATCACTACTTATTTTGAGGCACAGCAAACTCCTCACTATCTGTAATCTTAGCTGAATTTAATAGCTGTTATTTCTCCTAGGAGGCAGCTGTGGCCAGCTGGCCAACTCATGGCCCATGGAGAGGGGTCAGTGGCCACTCCATTCCAGCTAATTGCGACAGTGTGGGAAAATGGCTCCCCTGTGGCCAAACCTTCCCATATTTTAAGTTTTAATTTGTTATTTTATTTATTTATTTGAGACAGGGTCTTGCTCTGTCACCCAGGCTGGAATATAGTGGCATCATCCTGGATCAATGCAACCTGTTTCCTGGGCTCCCACCTGGGAGTGATCCTCCCACCTCTCATCCCAAGTAGTCTCCTGAGTAGCTGGGACTACAGGTGCATGCCACCACACCCAGCTAATTTTTGCTTTTTTTTTTTTGAGACGGAGTTTCACTCTTGTTACCCAGGCTGGAGTGCAATGGCTCCATCTCTGCTCACTGCAACCTCCGCCTCCTGGGTTCAAGCAATTCTCCTGCCTCAGCCTCCCGTGTAGATGGGACTACAGGCACGTGCCACCATGCCCAGCTAATTTTTGTATTTTTAGTAGAGATGGGGTTTCACCATGATGACCAGGATGGTCTCGATCTCTTGACCTTGTGATCCACCCGCCTCGGCCTCCCAAAGTGCTGGGATTATAGACGTGAGCCACCTTGCCTGGCCTAATTTTTGCATTTTTTAGTAGAGACACGGTTTCGGTATGTCACCCAGGCTTGGTCTCAAGCTCCTGGACTCAAGTGATCTGCCTGCCTCAGCCTCCCAAGTGCTGGGACTATAGATGTGTGCCACCGTGCCTGGCCGAACCTTCCAATTTTTAAAGACAAATTGGAAATCTAGTTTTTTAGTGGATATCTCTTAATTTTTAGGTGGCAACTAACTCATATTTTTTAAAAAATCATATAGAGGGCAAGCTAAGCCTGTCTGTGGGCTGGATTCAGCCCTGTGGCCACTAAGTTCTCAGCTTTATTTTTGTTTTTTAGGGTCTTTGTTGGGTGGAAAGTACTGGAAATGTTGCTATGCTGTGGTGAAACAGAACACCCTTCCTGTGTATGGGAATAATAAATCTCTGCTCTCTGGTCTTTGATGAAGAAGCAAGATGACGAAGGGAATGTCATCGTTTGGAAAGTGTCTCAGTGAGATGCACACGGTGTGCCGCCGCTGTGGCTCTAAGGCCCATCACCTTCAGAAGTCAACCTGTGGCGAGTGGCTGCTCCACCAAGAGCAAGAGAAAGTGCAACTGGAGTGCCAAGGCTAAAAGACGAAATCCCACTGGGACTGGTCGAATGAGGCACCTAATGATTGTATACCGCAGATTCAGGCATGGATTCCATGAAGGAACAACACCCAACACAAGAGGGCAGCTGTTGCAGCATCCAGGTCATCTTTTTTTTTTTTTAAACAACTTTTTTCTTTTTTGTGATGGGGTTTCACCATATTGGTCAGACTGGTCTCAAACTCCTGACCTCAGGTAATCCACCCACCTTGGCCTCCCAAAGTGCTGGGATTACAGGGTCAGCCACCGTGCCCGGCCACATCAAGTTCATCTTAAGAATTTCAACAATTATTCACGTAATAAATGCTCTGGTTAAAAAAAAAATCTCCAATTTGGTGAATAAAGTGAGTATCCGTGTAACTCTCCAGGCCAAGAGGGGACACTGTTGTGCCCCAGAGGCTATCCCCTGCCACCCTGTCCTTGCCGGTGGCAATCCTCTTCCACCTCTTGAAGGAGTCACTGTCCCATGGTCTCTAAGTGCTACGGGTGAGCTGTGCCTGCTTATAAACTTGCTGTATGAATGGATTCACACTAGAAACATTCCTTTGGGTCTTACCAGCCACTGGTTTTTAACCTCAGACATGGCAGCTGGTAGAAGCAACTCCAATCTACCTTCTATTGGACAGCCCGAGTGATGGCTCAAAAACTCAGATCTGACTCTGTCACCTCCACACCAATACCCAGTCCCTGCCCGAAACCCTTCAGGGCTCCGACTACCCTCAGGACAAAGATCAGTCTCCTGCCTGTAGACCATGAGGCTGGTGTGAGAGCTTTCTGCCTTCTCCTGGAGCCAGGCCCCACTGAGGTTCTCCTACTCCACATCCACAGCTGGCCCTGCCACCTATCCGCCCAGCCAGCCACTTCACTGCATTGAACTCAGTTTTCCTGTCCGTAAAACAGAGCTTGGTTACCCTGTGTCAGCCGTAGAGGGCCCAGCAACTGACAGGGGCTCCATGCATGGTTGCGGTGGCTATGATGATTCTGCTTGCCCTGCCCCCTCGGGGCTTTCCTTCTTCACCCTGGTAAGGGTCTGACCAGCCTCAGGCTCCACCCAGGACTGAATTAAATTTGAGAAAGCCGCAGTGCCGACCACAGCACGAAGATGTAGGCTAGCTCCATCCCCTGATGGGTAAGTCCAGCCCGGCTTCTCCAGGCACGGGGAACCATCTGAAGAGGCCTCCCCCCGCAGCAAGACCAGGGATTACAGAACAACAGCTCAGGCCAGACTCCAGCCCACAGACACATTTTCCTTGGCTCAGAGGGCTTTTACAAATTTAAATTAGCTTAAATTTCAATCTAAATCCAGCAAGCACTGAAGCTGCAAAAGGGTTCCAAATGTGCCCAGACATGGGTCTCCTTGGCACAGAAGGCAGCTGAGCGAGGGGGCCAGGGTGTTGTCTGTGGCCATATGCAGCCCCACATATTTATCCCAAAGTGAGCTAAAAACAGTCTCATTTTGTATGTGAGCCATGACAGAAACAAAAGCTGGGAAGCCATGAATCAGTTACCAACTTTTAAAAATGGGGAGATTTCATGTGAAAATCTAGACCCCTGGTATCTCCTGAAAACTCACAGGATCCAGATCCAGCCAACACCCGCTGCTGACTCACCCTGGCCCATGTGCCATCTTACATAACCTGCAGCGTGGGTGTCTGCAACCTCTAAGCTGGGAAGAAATTCCCTGAGCCCGAGCCCCGGCCTCCCCTGCCCCTCCCACACCAGCAGGGCCAGTGAAATCCCATCCTCCCAGCCCCTGCCAAGCCCCACTCTCCCCGGCCTTACAGAGGCGGCCTCCACGGTGTCCTCCTCTTCCCCCTCATCCCGGCCGTCTTCGATCTCCTCCATCACCTCAGCTTTGGCCTCAGCCACCAGCTCCCGCAGAGCCTTGTTACTGGTGACGCTGCTGACGAAGGGGTGCTGAGGGGGCAAGATGCACCTAGATTAGAACCACTTTGGGGTCAAAAGTGGGGTGGAAGAGGCTGGTGGAGCTCACCACCCAGGGCAGGGAAGGCCAGCCTCATTCCCGAGCAAAACGTGCACATGAACTTGGAGACCCAGAGACAACCGAGAAAGTCCTAAGTATGTTGGAAAGAGGGCAGATTCCAGCTCTGACTCTCACCAGCTGTGTGACCTTGCGCATGTCGCTTAACTTCTCTGAGCCACAGGTTCCTTATCTCCGAAGCAGACACAATAATGATGAACTCACAGGGAGGTCATGTGGATTAAATGAGATCATGTATTTGAAAATACTTAGCCCAAAGCAGGAGCTCAAGCCATGTTTGGAAGGGAGGGTGTCTAATTTCCTTTTTAAAAGGTTTTAATGTGCAGTTTTACAAAATACGCTACATACATTCTGTTGGGGAGTAACATTCCTACAGTGAATTTCACAGGTTGTAAAGCTCAATTATCTTTTTTTTTTTTCTGACTTTTGCTCTTGTTGTCCAGGCTGGAGTGCAATGGCAAGATCTCTGCTCACTGCAACCTCCACCTCCCGGGTTCAAGTGATTCTCCTGCAACCTCAGCTTCCCAAGTAGCTGGGGGTTACAGGTGTGTGCCACCACACCCCACTAATTTTTTGTATTATTAGTAGAGACAGGGTTTCACCATGTTGGCCAGGCTGGTCTCGAACTCCTGACCTTAAGTAATCCACCTGCCTCAGCCTCCCAAAGTGCTGGGATTACAGGTGTGAGCCACTGCGCCCAGCCTCAATGACTTTTTATATATACATGCACCCAGTGTAACCGCCGCCCAGTTCAAGATACAGAGCATTTCCATCACCAGGGAAGGTTCCCATCTCCCTTGGCAGGCAACCCCACTCCCACGCTGCCAGCCTCGGGAGCCTGCTCCTCAGCTTCCTAGAAACAGAGCGTCAAGTGTGCAGACTTTCGCGTTGGCTTCTGTTACTCAGCGTCGTGACTGTGAGATTCACCTACATTGTCGCGTATTTTGGTAAACTGTTCCCGTTTTATTTCTGTGCAGGGCCCACTGTGTGAATATGGCACAGTTTGTTTATTCATCCTGCTGCTGCCGGACACCTGGGCTGTTTCCCATTTTTGGCAACTATGAATAAAGCTGCTAGAGAAATCCACATATATGTCTTTGGGTGGACATATGTGTTTGGTTTTAAGAAAGGAAATATGAGATCTTGAGGCATGTTCTATTCTAGATTTTTATGGAAATGTCAGAGTCTTTAAAAGTGAATGTTCTTTTGAGGACCTTGGAAAACACCAAAGCAAAAGGTCTTAGTGATATGAAGTCAGTGCGAGGTATCCTGGGTGAAGGCACCCGGGTGTAACCAGGGATGTGGGATTCCTCAACCCACCACGCTCTCTCAGGGCCACTGGAAAAGCAATGATAAGGTAGGGTGGGGGCATCATGAAGTTAGAATTCACTCATTTACAATCTACAGGAAAGCTCTGATGAAATTCACTGTTTTGGCCGGGTGAGGTGGCTCACCCTGTAATCCTAGCACTTTGGGAGGCCAAGGCAGGTGGATCACGAGGTCAGAAGTTCGAGACCAGCCTGTCCAGTATGGTGAAACCACATCTCTACTAAAAAATACAAAATTAGCCGGGCGCGGTGGCTCAAGCCTGTAATCCCAGCACTTTGGGAGGCCGAGGTGGGTGGATCATGAGGTCAAGAGATCGAGACCATCCTGGTCAACATGGTGAAACCCCGTCTCTACTAAAATACAAAACATTAGCTGGGCATGGTGGTGCGTGCCTGTAATCCCAGCTACTCAGGAGGCTGAGACAGGAGAATTGCCTGAACCCAGGAGGCGGAGGTTGCGGTGAGCCGGGATCACACCATTGCACTCCAGCCTGGGTAACAAGAGCAAAACTCCGTCTCAAAAAATAAAAACAATTAGCCAGGTGTGGTGGTGCACACCTGTAGTCCCAGCTACTTGGGAGGCTGAGGCAGGAGAATCACTTGAACCCAGGAGGTGGAGGCTGCAGCGAGCCAAGATCACACCACTGCACTCCAGACTGTCGACAGAGTGAGACTTCATCTCAAAAAAAAAAAAAAAAAAAAAAAAAAAAAGGCGGGCACTGTGGCTTATACCTGTAATCCCAGCACTTTGGGAGGCTGAGGCGGGCGGATCACGAGTTCAGGAGTTTGAGACCAACCTGGCCAACATGGTGAAAACTCATCTCTTAAAATAAAAAAAAAGAAATTCACTGTTTTTTACTCTTGGGGAAGAAGTATCAACAAGGTTGCTGGGGAAGTATTTAAATGACTAAAAAATAAATTTCTAGCACCTAAAAAACATTCAGAACGTATATGTTCACCACAAATCATTCTTATCTGTTTGTTCATTTAAAGCAGTTCATTTGTGGAAGTCCATCAGGCAACACCCTCTTCAACTCGTTCCTTACTTTGTACAACCTGAAAGCAATAAACCTTACTTCTTTTAGAGAGAGAGCCCTATCATTCCAATGTTCCCAAGCCCATCTGAGTTTCTCTAGTTAGTCCAAACTAATGAAGAGTTGAAAAGAACACAATTTTTATTTCTTTCCCACTTCCCTGTTCACCCGTGGATTCATTCCGCAGCCCATACTGAGGCCAGCAGTGTGCCAGGTATGGGGAACAGCCAAACAGATCAGACCAGGTCTCTGACCTTGGGGCTTCCAGTTGAGTGAGAGGGAGTTGATATGCAATCAAACAATAAACAAGAGAATTCCAGATCTTGTATAGCTGAGGGTGGCGGAGACTAAAGTCTGCAGGCAGAGGGGCCTCATTCAAGGTCAAATTCAACCTGAGACCCAAGGAATGTGAAGGGATTTCCCAGGGAAAGATGTGGGCACAGAGAATTCCAGGCAGAGGGAGCAGCTGATACAAAAGCCCTGAGACTGGAGTGAGCTTGCTGGGCAGTGGGAGCCACAAGACAGGCTGGATGGTGGGACCCAGAGGGTGAGAGGAAGCACGGGCTATGTGTGCAGGTGAGCCACCGAGACTGTCCTCACAAGCCACCAACAGGCTGCAGCACAGCAGTGATATTCACTACCACCCTTTAAATATGTCGTTCCGGCTGCTCTGTACTTTTAAGACGTCTTGAGTGGAACATTAAGGGTTTACTAATCGTGGGAGGCAAAGTAGCATAGGAGTTAAGAGTGCTGGCTATAGACTCTAGAACAAAGGCACCTGGCAAACTCCAGCTTCCACCAACGTGGGCAAGTCACTTAACCTCGAGCCTCAGCTTGCTCATCTGTATACTAGAAATAGCTGTTATAAGCATTATGGTTAATGCTCAGATATGGCAGCCATCATCATCATTACCACCACCATCATCACTTTCGCCACCATTACAACTATAATAGCACCATCATTACCATAACCATCACCACCATCATCATCATCACCATCACCCCCATCACCTTCATAACCATCACCACCATCATTGCCATCATCATCATCACTGTGACCCTTACCATCACCACCATCATCATCATCACATCACCCCCATCACTACCATCACCATCATTACCATATTCACCCATCACCATCACCACCATCATCACCACCATCATTGCCATCACCATCACTACCACCATCACCTCACCACCATCATCACCATTACCCCAATCACCACTATTAAAACCATCACCCCCCATCAGTGGCAGGAACAGCAGCACAACCAGAAAAGCCTGTTTTGGCCAAGTGCAGTGGCTCACACCTGCAATCCCAGCACTTTGGGAGGCCAAGGCAGGTGGATCACCTGCGATCAGTTCGAGATCAGCCTGGCCAACATACTGAAATCCCATCTCTACTAAAAATAACAAATATTAGCCGGGCATGGTGGTGTGTGCCTATAATCCCAGCTACTTGGGAGGCTGAGGCAGGAGAATCACTTGAACCCCTGAGGCAGAGGTTGTAGTGAGCCAAGGTCGTGCCACTGCAGTCCAGCCTGGGTGACAGAGGGAGACAGTCTCAAAAAAAAAACAACAACAAAAGAAAAGCCTGTTTTGCACTCCTAGCCACTCCTATTCCCTGCCACATGCCCCCAGAGCACATCTTTTTGGAACCAAAGGTGAGAACCAAGATCCCAAAGGTTTGTAAGCTCCACACTGCACAATCTAATACAGGTGAACTTGGGAAAAACGCCACAGGACGCTTCACTGCAATGGCTGAAGCACATGTGGCAGAAATAAACGCAGGAACAGGCTTCTTGGAAACACCAGGTTTTCATCAGGACACCCCAAGTATCGATCAAATCAGTGGCTTTTCAGCACGACTAGGAACACTGCTTTCTCAAAGCAGAATTATCTGCTCCACTGCCTCCTCTGACCACCCTAGTGTCCTTAGGAGAAGGAATGGGGGTCATGGGGAAGAAAGCCTGTGACAGGCAGGCGAGCAGGGCAGCTCTGCTGGGTGCCAGAGCAAGCAAGCCTGGCAGACGGGGCCACCGACCTGCAGCTGATTAGATCCAAACATTGTTTTACAGACTTCTCCGGGACACAAAACACAGACCACCTCCGCCACTGCATTAGCTCCTCTGCCTCCAGAGATGTATTCAGACGCCCATTAGAGAGGCAACGGCTGGGCTATGCTGCAAGGGAGAATGCTAGCCTGCACCAGGTAGACTGGTCTGCACACACGTCCCCAGTGGAAGGCTAGATCACAGAGGAACGTGACCACCAGTCCTCCAGTAGGAGGCACAGCTGTTTGGTGCCATCTTTGCTGAGACAGGCCAAGGTTGGTGAGTGTCATACAGCTTGCCAGTTGGCACCTGCCCTCTACCAAGGGCCTCCCTTGCAATCAAAACTGACATCCTTTCCAAGAACTTGAGCCTATTTTTCCTCTACGTGCTTAGAAACCATCAGCCAGAGGGGTCCTATACTCCAAGATGGGCTTTAAAGAACATCGAATAGGCCGGGCATGGTGGCTCACACCTGTAATCCCAGTACTTTGGGAGCCTGAGATGGGTGGATCACTTGAGGTCAGGAGTTTGAGACCACCCTAGCCAACATGGCAAAAACCTCTCTCTACTAAAAATACAAAACTTAGCCAGGAAGCTGAGGCAGGAGAATCACTTGACCTGGAGGTGTGGAGGTTGGAGTGAGCCGAGATCATGCCACTGCACTCCTGCCTGGCAACAGAGCAAGACTCCATCTCCAAAAAAAAAAAGTCAATGGATTTACCAAATATTTGCTGAGGGCTCTCTATGAATCGGGCACTGTTCCTGGGACCTATCCATGAACAAAACAAAGGTTGCTGTCCTCAGGGAGCTGACATGCTAGGCTTGCAACAAACCTAATAAGCAGGTGAGTTGTATCCTGAGTGCCATGTGCCATGGAAGACGGAATAAGCAGAGCAGGGAAATGGAAACTGGGGATGTGGGAAGTGTAGTGGGTTTGCAATTTCACGTGGGTGGTTGAGGAGGCCTCACTGCAAGGCTGACATTTGAGTAATGGCTTGAAGAGGGAGAGTCAGTCACAGAGGGATCTGGAGGAAGGGCATTCCAGCCAGCGTGGACAGCCAGTACAAAGGCCCTGAGGCAGGAACATGCCCGCTGTGTTTGGAGCACAGCAAGGGGGCTGGGCAGGCTAGAGCAGAGTGAGGCTGGAGTGAGGGATCGAAAGGGACAGGGGAGTCAGAAGTGGGAGGGCGAATCACACAGCGCTCTAAGGGGCCCTGAGACTCTGGGTTTTCCCTGGAGTGAAATGGGAGCCACTGGGGAGCTTTGGCAGGCAGGGAGGACATGAGCTGGCTCCTATTGAGAAGGTCCCTCTGGTTGCTGTGCTCAGCCCAGACCCAGCTGAGAGGACAGAAGACCAGCAAGGAGGCAGCAGCCCGAGTGAGAGGCAGTGGTGGCAATGGAGGGGCAGAAAATGGAGAAGTCTAGGCATATGCTGAGGGCAGAGACAACGGGATTTCCTGATAGGTGGGCTAGGGAGCATGGGAGACAGAGGAGCAAGGTGCCTGCATGGTTTGGTGCCTGAGCCACTGGAAGGGTGGAACTGCCATCAGCTGGATGGGAAAGCCAGCAGTGGAGCATGTCTGCAGAAAGATTCCAGTGATCAGCATCCAGTGTGAGATGGCCACTGGACATCCGGGAGTCAACAGCTGGACGCAGGCCGAGGCATGAGCTAGGAGTGCTGCACGCTGGGTGTGTGGAGATAGAGAGAAGGACCCGTGTACTCTCACACCAATGCACTGGGGTAAAGGGGGGCGAGAAAGGCAATGGAGAAGGAGTGGCTGAGACCAAAGGTGCGTGGAGGCCTGGCAGTCAAGTGCTGACAGGAGGAGGAGGAGGAGATGGGCTGGGCTGGTGCTGTTGACGGGGCCAGTGAGACAAACACGGAAGCTGACCATAGCACAGAAATTGCAGACGACCTTGGTAAGAGCAGCTGTGATAGAGTGGATGGGTTTCAGAGCAAATTCAGCCAGTATCTACTTAGCGTTGAATATGTGACATCTGTGGTGTTAAAAATGTTACATACAAAACCGCATTCACTAACACAATTCTGTGCAGCCAGCACTCTCCATCTTACAGATGAGGAAATTGAGGCACAGAGTGAGAATCATGCAGCTTCTGGGGTGGGGAGGGGCAGGTCTGAGTTCAGAGGCTGATTACTCACCACGACTTGGTCCTGGCTCAAAGAATGTCTGTAGGAGTCAATGAATGAATCACAAACCAATGGGGCATGATTCACTCTGCCTGGGGCAGGACACAGGGAGACATGAGGGCCAGGTGCTTCTTGGAAGCAGGTAGACACCCTGAAGGCTGACAGTGCTGGAGTGGGGGCTGGGAAGCCAAGATCTGGGCCCACCTCTGTTACTCAAAGCCAAGCGACCTTGGGCCAGTCACCTCCCGGCTGTAATCCTGGTATCCTCGTTTGAGGGGGTAAACCAGGCTCTCCCTCTCTCAGCAAAGTGGAAAAGGCGCATGGGCACAGCCAGCAGCAGCACAGGCGTGAAAGGTGCTTTATTCACCTCCAGAGATCACTCCTTTCTTCTGCAACCCTTTCTGTTGGACGCTAACAATCCTCTGGCAGGATCTTTTTTCCAAGTGTGGAACGGAAATTCCTGGCTCAGGCTGCAGCTCCGGATCTGCCATGTGGGGATGGGGGACAGCTGGTCTCTCCGTGGAATGTCCCAGAGGCCGGATGTATCAGGGCAGGAGGTGCCTCTTACAGGAAACAATTGGCCCCAAGCGACTTGCACCGCGACAGCAGCCCCACTCCACCCCATCCACTTCAGGGAGCCCAGCCCACTCCCCAGGATACCCAGAAAATGAGGTCTTTGGCCACTTCAGAAATTTGCTTTTGAATACATTATAGAAATGTAAAATGAACAACTGTGACCCCACCCCCACCCCCAGGAGATGAACCCATTTTGCATCCTGGTTTCTCTTATTTCTTTATTATGTATTTATTTATTTATTTTTCATAGAGGTGGGGTTTCACCATGTTGGCCGGGCTGGTCTTGAACTCCTGACCTCAAGAAATCCACCCGCCTCAGCCTCCCAAAGTGCTGGGATTACAATTGTGAGCCACCGTGCCTGGCTGGTTCCTTTATTTTAAAACAAATAAATAAGTAAATTCCATGCATCAAGCATTCCTTGAGCACTGTGCTTAAGAATTAAGCTAAGCACTTCCTAGTACCTCTTCACTTAGTCCTCACAACCACCCTGTAAGGGGACTGCTGCTATTCACTCCCATTTGAGTGACAAGCAAGTCACAGAGAGGTTAAGCCACTCGCTCAGGGGTTCACAGCCAGTAAGTGGCAGAGCTGGATTTGAAACCCTTGACCTTCCTGTCCCAGCTCATACTCATAATCACTAAGCTGCTACCCCAAGGGGGCGTGTGGTGGCTCAGGATGCTGACCACAGGCCCAGTGCACGGCCCACAGTAGGAAGCTGGGAAAAGCTGGGTGAACATAAAGACTCAAGTGCCTGGTGTGGTGCCTTCCTCCCTTCCTGCCATCGCACCTCTAAGACTGCCATGCTGGCGGCAGGACTGGAGCGGACAGGGCAGTGAAAGGGCAGCTCCATTGCATCACCCAGGCCTATTCCTCCCTTTTCCATCAGTGGCAGTGACAGGGGGACAGTGGTCAGCATATTTGTGGATGGTTGGGCAAGTGCTGTCCACAGTGCTCAGAACGCTGCTGTGAACATGCGGACCTCACCCAGCGACCAGCCATGACACCCTAGCATGAGGCATGGGATCAGGCAAAGGAAGGCTGACAGCTCCCTCCAATAGCTCGAAAAGCTTCAAGGAAACCTCCATCCACCTCCCCACTCTAAGGCAGTACAACCAGCTAATGAGATGCTCAGAATCTCCTGATCCCACACACAGCAGCCAGAAGGACCCTCATAAACGGAAGTCAGATTTCTCCCCTAATGCACAGATAAAGCCCAAGACCTGGCTCTGGCTTGCAAGGCCCTGCAGGACCCTGTGCAGCCTGGCCCTGTATGCAGAAAACAGCATGGCAAGCCTCAGAAAGGGCTGTCACAAGGTCAGAGCCTCAGCTGGTCTCTGCAAACTAGGAGGGGGCCCCCATCATTAACTCATGGGAGTTGCTCACTCTGCTTAAACTATTCTGCGAACAATATGGCTTAGGTTGATTACCTGCTTTCCTTCTGGAGTCTGGATCTTAGGTCTTTGCCAGGGAGGGGATGCCTATGTGACCACTACCCAGCAAAAACCCTAAGGGGCTTCCCTGGCAGACAGCACAGAGAATGAAACGTGTCCTGGTGACTGCACTGGGAGGGGGCCCTGGGAGCTTATGCCTGGCTCGAAAGACCTCTTCCCATGTGCCTCCTCCTCGGGCTGGATTCCCTCTGTACTTCTGCTGTCATAAGTCTCCGGGGGAAGATGCTATGCTGAGGCCAGGTGTTCTCCTAGGGAACCATCGAGACTTAGGACGCACACCTCAGTGCCTCTCTGGTCTCATCTTTCCTCCCCTCCACTCCCCTCCCCTCACCCCTGTGCTCCTGCTTCCCCACCCCTACCCCCTGGCTCCTTCCAGCAAGTGCAGAATACGCTGTCATCCCAGGCCTTTGCCTCCTCTCTCTCTGGGCCACTGGCCTTGCCCTCTCCCTTCCTGTGGGCATCTGCTCACCCAGAGAGCCCTTCCTTATCCTCCCTTACAAGACAACAGCTGCTCCCAGGTGCCCCACCTCCGCACCGTGGCATCTCCTTCCGGGGCGCTGGCCACCCCCTGCCATGTGCACATACTTGCTTATTTGACGCCTGTCTCTCCACTGGAACACACGCTCCATGAGGACAGGGTCTGGGTGGCTTCATGCCCCAAGGCACTCCCAACACACAGCTGGCATTCAGGAGGTGCCCGGGGAAAAGATGGGTGTGTGGAGATAGAGAGAAGGACCCGTGTACTCTCACACCAATGCACTGGGGTAAAGGGGGGCGAGAAAGGCAATGGAGAAGGAGTGGGAAGAGATACTTCACAGTATCTCTTAATTTAACCCTCACAACCACCCTGTAAGGGGACTGCTACTATTCACTCTCATTTCAGAGTGACAAGCAAGTCACAGAGAGGTTAAGCCACTCTTATTTTGATGAGAGTGTCTCACTCTGTCAACAAACAGCTGTCCATGCTGTCCCCTGGCTGGGGTGAGAACATGCCCAGCATCCAGGTCATTGGTGAGCTCATTAGTCTCTGGCCCTTCAGGGAGCAGAGCGGGAGGGGAATCCACTCACCTCTAGCAGCTGCGCAGCGCTGGGCCGGGTTTCTGGGTTCTTATCCAGGGCTATCTTCAGGAAGTCACGGAACTCTACAGACCTGGGAGGACAAGCAACAGAGGTGAGCATGGGGGAGGCAAGAGCAGAGAGAAGTCCCCCATGTCACAGACTCCAGGGTCCCAATCACGCCCCTCAAAGGACAGAGGCAACTTTCACAAGCTAAAACAGTGACAGGGCCTACACATTCCCCTTTTCATCATGGACATCACTGTCCAGATGGGGACACAGAAATCAGAGAGGAGCAGGGATTTGCCCAGGCCACACAGTGAGGAGACTTAGCAGTGCCAGTATCTGAACCCAGGCCCCCGATGTCCAGCCCAGGGTTGTACCATATGGCTCCTGGGGCTCAGCTGGGGCTCCTGTTCCCACAGTGGAAGCTGGCTTATTTGGGTGACCTGGTTTGCTGTGATGAAGACTTCATGTCAAGATAACAGAGGGGGCGTGATGGCTCACACCTATAATCCCAGCACTTTGGGAGGCCAAAGCAGACGGATCCCTTGAGGCCAGGAGTTCAAGACCAGCCTGGGCAACATAGGAGAGCTTATCTCTATAAAAAATTAGCCAGGCATGGTGGTGGGTGCCTATAGTTCCAGCTATAAGGGAGGCTGAGGCGCAAGGATCTCTTGAGCCTAAGAGGTCGAGGCTGCAGTAAGCTCTTAAGCTCAGCACTTCACAGTATCTCTTAATTTAACCCTCACAACCACCCTGTAAGGGGACTGCTACTATTCACTCTCATTTCAGAGTGACAAGCAAGTCACAGAGAGGTTAAGCCACTCTTATTTTGATGAGAGTATCTCACTCTGTCACCCACGCTTAAGTGCAGTGGTGCGATTCCAGCACTCCAGCCTGGGCAAAAGAGTGAGACCCTATCTCAAAAAAAAAAAAACAATAATAATAATAATAAAGAGCACCAAGGGAAAAAAGAGGCACAAAGCTCAGAGAGGGAAGATCCCCAGGCCCCAACCTCTCCTGGGGGCCAGCAGCAGCAGGAGAGCCCTACCACTGCACCTCCCCAGCCCCACCCACCACATATCCCAGCCCTAACCCCGGCACAAGCACCCCCCTGCCCCTCACCACTTAGAGGGCGTGAGCAACGTGGGAGGATCCGACTTGGCTATCTTTAGCAGGACCCGCATGGGGTTGAGCTCGTGGTGTGGCGGCTCGATCTGGGCCATCTCAATCAACGTGATGCCCAGGGACCAGATGTCGGCTTTGTAGTCGTAGGGCGTGTCCTTCATGGTCTCACACATGACCACCTCGGGGGCCATCCTGAACCAACCAAGGGACAACATAGGGCTAAGAATCTGGCCTCCATAGAGGCTTCTTGGACATTCAGGATCAAGGGCCACCACGAGCCACTGTCAGGGGTTGGCAGCACTCCCGAATCATGATCTGCGTGACTCTGCAACACACTTGTCTTCCTTAGGACGCTCTTCCACAGAAAAACACCTCCACGCGGCACCCCGCCACGTCCTGCTGCGGTTCCAATACCTACCACGAGATGGCAGCAGCAATCCGGAACACAGAGTCCTGGGGAGGGGGCAGGTGGGGGCGCAGGGGAAGGTACGGAGCAAAACACCGGGGCGTGGAGGTGGGTGGGCGAGAAGACAACAGCACAGAGAGAAGGAGAAACAGGTATAAAAGGGGGGAGAGAGAAAGCAAGGGTGAGTAACAAGCAAGCAAGAAAGGAGCCCAAACTCCACAATGGCAAGTAATGCACATGAAAAAATTGTGAAAAGGCAAAACAGAGTAGTCAGGCGCGAAATTCAGTGACAGTGTTTTGTTTTTAAAGTAATAGTTCTGGAAAAGAAGGAAACACGACAGACTAGAGAAGCCTCGGAGAAGTCCAGAGAGACTTCACATGAGCTTAGGAACTGAAGTTGTACTGTTCACCTTCATGGCCCCCGTCCCCGGTCCTCAATACATACGAGGTGAATAAATCATTAACTGAATCCTGTTTTAGGGATTCTAGTTCAGTTATTAATGGAGGGCCTTCTATGTGCACCATTTAATTTAATCCGCACAGTAACCTTATTAAGTAGGAGCTATAATATCCCTAATTTGTGGATGAAGAAACTGAGGCACGGGAAAGCTAGGCAGCTTGGCCAAGGTCACACGGCTAGTAAGCCACGGGGCGGGGCATGCTCCCACAGGCTGACCCAGTCGCCCTTGCCTTCCAGCCCCTCCCGTCTAAGGCACCCCGGAGAGTTTTAAGGTCCAGTCCATTCCATTTCCAGAAGCTACACGACTCACCAGTAAGGCGTGCCTATGAAGGAATCTCGTTTCTGCAGAGTCTTCAGATTCTTGGCAGACACACCAAAGTCAGCTGCAACACAAAAATCTCGGATAGAGTTTTCCACGGACACTCCTCCACCCACGGCCCTGGGGTAAAAGCCGGGGACGTGGACTCAGGGATACAGATTCCCAGTCGACTAACATGCCATTTTCTATGTAGCAAATTAGAGCATTAAAAATACAAGACTATTTGCTGCTGAGAGGAAGTACGGAGATGAACACTGTGCTCTCTACTGAGAGCCTAAACTGGCAAGAGCCTTAGGAAAGCAATTTGGCAATAAATAGCAAGAACTTTTAAAATATCCATACCCTTTTAATCCAATCATTCCAAATCTAGGATTCTAACCTTATGAAACAATCTTAAATTCAAAAAATTATGCATAATGATGTTAACCAAAATGCCATTATAATAACAGTGACACACTAAAATCACCCATAGTTGCTTGGCTATCAGGGAGTGATTTTTAAACTTTTTATGTATGTTAAGAAAAATGGAGGCCAGGCGTGGTGGCTCATGGCTGTAATCCCAGCACTTTGGGAGGCAGAAATAGGCAGATCACTTGAGGCCAGGAGTTTGAGATCAGCCTGGCCAACATGGCAAAACCCAGTCTCTACTAAAAATAAAAAAAAAATTAGCCAGGGGTGGTGGTGTGTGCCTATAATCCCAGCTACTTGGGAGGCTGAGGCACAAGAATCACTTGAACCCCGGAGGTGGAGGCGGCAGTGACCCATGATCGCACTACTGCGCTCCAAGCCCAGGCAACAGAGTAGCTGGAGACTTTCTAAAAAAAAAAAAAATTAGCTGGGTGTGGTGGCATGTGCCTGTAGTCCCAATTACTGGGGAGGCTGAGGTGGGAGAATCACTTGAACCCAGGAGATAGAGGCTGCAGTGAGCCAGGATCGTGCCACTGCACTACAACCTGGGTGATATTTATTGATTACTCTTTATTTATTTATTCATATTATAATTATTATTTTGAGACAGAGTCTTGCTCTGTCACCCAGGCTGGAGTGCAATGGCGCAATCTCGGCTCACTGCAACCTCCACTTCCCGGTTCAAGCGATTCTCGTGCTTCAGCCTCCCGAGTAGCTGGGATTGCAGGAGACTGCCACCATGCCCAGCTAATTCTGTATTTTTAGTAGAGACGGGTGTCGCCTGATAGCTGCCTTTGGACAATTCATCCCAAGAAGCTGCAGCACTATGACAACTTCCGGCCATTCCGGGCACCCACCTTGCCTGGCCTTGAAATGAGCTGTATCCAGGAACTCCCATCAGACTCGCAATTTCAAACCAGGAGGCAGCACAATGCCAAGAGGCCGGGCCTGAATATGGGAGAACTTGGTTCCAGCCTCTGCTCTTCTGCCTCACTGGTCCATTCACCCATTCATTCACATGCTCACCAAGCTCCTTCAGGAGCCAGACACTAGCCGGGAGCAGAGAATACAGTGAGGACCCTTGGGTAGTCCACAGTTTAGTTGGGGGAGCAGAGAGTAAGCAAATAAACAAACATCTACTGCTAACATTGGGAAGTGTTGGGAAGACAGGGGTGTGGGGCTACTCGACAGTGCACAGTAGGGGCACGACCTTGAAGGAACAGTCATGGAGGGAGGGCTGGGGGCCTTGGAGGAAGAACAGTTTTATTCAGCATACACTAACTGCACATCTGTTATGTGCCAGACATTGTTCTAGGTGCAGAGATGAAAGTGATCAAGTCCTGCCCCTCACGCCATGTTATTCTTGTGGTGGAGACCGGCACTTGGCAGACTCCAAAGAATGCCTCAGTGAGAAGGCCCCAGGGCTGAGAAGGCAAGGCGAAGGAATGGGTTGGAGTGAGGGTGGGGGGCTACTTTAGACACAAACTCAGGATCTGGGGGAAGGTATTTCCAGGCAGAGAAAATTGCAAACAGGCTAGGAGGCAGGAACTAACAGGCTGGAGGGACCAGCAGGGACAGGACACAGCCTGGCCGGAAGGAGGGGCGGGGTTTGCAGCAGATAAGGCAGGAGGCAGGCAGGAGGAAGGGCAGTTACACCCCTGACCCTCAGTTTCCCCATCTGTGACATAGGGGTGATACCATGGAACCACTGTGCAGGTTTTCCTAAGAATTAAATGATAAACGCAAAGTACTCTGCTGCAAGGCCCACTCGTGGCAAAAGTGAGATGATGGTGATTATTTCAGCGGCCCATGAGCCAGTCCAGCCTTTTTCAGGCAGGGGCAAGGCTGATGCTGAACTAAGACCACCCCCACCACCTCGTGGGGGTGAGCCCCGGTTAATGCTAACTGGATAGCAGTTGCTATATCAGGGAACAGTTTGGCCAGCGAGAGGGGACGGGGGCCCTTGACCTCCGGAGGTGGGACCAACAGGTGCCACAGGTGAGGTGGGAAAGCAGGAAACCCAGGTAGAGTCCGGCTCTGCTGCTGACTCTGGCGGGCAGCTCCCCTGGGCATCCAGTGTAAGAATGGGAGGCAGGGCCCACCTTCCTGCTGGGTCAGCCAGACACCCCTGTGGGCCTGGCTCCCCCACAAACACCACCGCCGGCACATCATCCCATCCCAGGAAACCTTCTGGGAACAGTGAGTGACTCTCAGGCTTGGGGTGAGGATCCCCAGAAGCTGGCCATTCCCCCCTCATAGGCCCTGCTGATCCCCTCCTAAGAGAGAGGAAAAACAGAAACCACCACGATGACACACTGCCGGTCCCCAGGACCCTCCCTCAGGCACACACCAGCCGGCTCTTTGGGTAGCTGCTACTTCCCCTTCTGCCCCACGTGATGGGGCTCAGATGCGGGGGTCGGGGGACAAGCCCCACCTTGCAGCCCAGAGAACTGAGCCTGCTTGCTCCCTGCACAGTTTATCAGGGAGTGTCCCTTGATAGCTGATGGTTACCCTTGAACAATTCAAAAGGGGATTTCCACCATGCAGTCTCTTTTGATGAAAACACTCCCCCTTCCCTTCCCTTCCCATTTTAAAATGAACTAGAGACAAGGGCAGCAGAGATATGGGGAAATCTCCCTTTCTAGACTATAATTTCCATAAGGAAAGAGATCATTTCCGCTGTGTCCACAGTTGTATCCCTGGCACAATAGCTAGAGCAGGAAGCACTCAACAGGTTATCCAATGAGCACACTCATGAATGAATAAAGAGACAAAATTTGCTAGAATGGCTTTACTCATATATGTAAAAAATAAAACTGGTTTTAAAAACTTGTTTGCCAGCAATTCTATTTGCAGAAATCCATCTCCAAAACTAGATCTATAATATATATGGATGCTTATAAAAGCAATAGCCAAAAAGAATGATAAATTGGAAACCATCTAAATTGTTGCAGGAGCTTCATTGCTGAATGGTTAGATAGATAAATTTTGGTTCACCCCAGCTATGAAATAACATGCTGCTCTTAAAAAGAATGAGGCTGTGTTTGTATGTACTAACCTGGAAGTTTATCTCTCATACATGTCCCAGACATGTTGCTGATTGATCATTGAGTCTTATAAAATGTGTAATATGATTCCAGAAATGATCCAGGTAACAATACTTTAGTAGAAGATTATATTTTTTTTTTTGAGACGGAGTCCCGCTGTGTCACCCAGGCTAGAGGGGCGCCATCTTGGTTCACTGCAAACCTCTGGCTCCCAGGTTCAAGCAATTCTCCTGCCTCAGCCTCCTGAGTAGCTGTGATTACCGGCGTGGTAGCCCACACCTGGCTAATTTATATATTTTTAATAGAGATGGGGTTTTACTGTGTTGGTCAGGCTGGTCTCGAACTCCTGACCTCAAATGACCCACCCACCTTAGTCTCCCAAAGTGCTGGGATTACAGGCATGAGCCACCATGCCCAGCCAGATTATCTTTAAAAGAATGATGTTTATGAATATTGTGTGTACATACGTGCACATGTGCGCACGCGCGCACACACACACACACATACACACCGGTCTGGAAGGTTGCACATCCAACTTCCTATTTACCTCCCGGAAGTGGGATTTTGGTGGGGGCAGTGCACAGAGGGGACCTCACATTTGTCACTTGACACACTTTTAGTCTTTTAAAATGTTTTTAATAGAGTGAATTGTTTCTATGGTTAAAAAAACTGGTATGTAGCAAAGTTTTTTTGGTTTTGTGGGTTTTGTTTTGTTTTTCTATTAAGTACAACTCAATAGGGGCCAGGATGTGGTGAAAACAGAACTTCACACTCCACTGGGGGGAGGGTCAACTGGTACAACCAGCACGGGGCATGATGGCTGCAGATGAACAAAACCCGACTCACCGCACACACCCAGCACTCTGCTTCTGAGAATTCCTCCTCAAGGTATGTTACAGAAAGAGACTCAAAGATCCATGAACAGCACAGTCATCACTGCTTGATTTAGTAAAGAAGATGATAAACCTCACGAGAAACCTATGTATCCCCTTCAGGGCTTTCCTTAGGGCTTTGAAAAGTAAACTACATTTTCTGCATGTGATGGGAGACAAGAAAAACCCGAAAATCATCACGCTTCTGAGGAATCTTTAAGGATATGGAGGAATATGCTGACATTCAATGTTAAAAACCAGACTAAGAAACTGTATATATATAACTATCCCAGTTTATCTTATAAAAACTAATATTTACTGAGAACTTACCATGTGCATAGCACTGTGCAAAGTAATGTATGCATATCATCTGCACATCTATGCCTACACACATCACTTGTATCTATGACCCTTTGAGGCCTGGAAAATTATGACCCCCATTTTACAGATAAGGAAGCTTCAGTTAAGAGAAACTGAGTAACGTTCAGGTCACCCAGCTGTGCTCTTTCCCACTATCTGGTCCAACCTTTCTGCAGAAAGAAAAAAGACTTGGAGGGAAGCCCACAGGGAGTGGTGATTTATTCTGGTAGGATTAGGAGACACTTTATTTCTCCTTTTTGTGGGTCTTATTCCAAATTGTCTACAGGACTCTTAGCGACTCGTGTGTGTGTGTGTGTGTGTGTGTGTGTGTGTGTGTGTGTTTTCTGATGACCAAAATAATGTTGTTTATTAGAAAT